GAAAGTTATGGGACGACTACTGAAGGGACTAGGAGTGTTGTCGCGTTGTTTAATGTGCGTGTGAGTGTGTGTTTTATTTTTGTAAAGTAGTGTGCGCGTGGTGAGTGGGATACGTCCTAGTCGACCGACGGTGAATCACGCTTGGAACGTCAGCCCCCCCAAGATGTCGATTCGCGTACGGGTCAGGTAGGGGCGTAATACCGCTCGTACCCCCTATGCTACAGTGAACGAGAAACATCCTCGGCTGGTCCACCTCTGCGATTGCAACTGATCAACTTTCGTACTGTGGACTGGTAGCTCGGCGGGGATACGCCCACTGAAGGGAGCTAACAGTTCACGTAAGGTGGAGGTAAGTCGTGCCTCACGTAGGCCCTGTCCTGTCGTAGGGGCTCGCGAGAGGTATGGCTGGCGCACTCGGCCGGAGCGGCTTGCGGAAGCTCCATATACATTCGCGACAAGGATTCAAACCAACCCCTGCGTGACGCGACCAAGAGGGTCCTGCGCTGCTTTGTGCGGTGCCGGACCGATGTGCTCGACATCGCCGTTTTATGTCTGTTTGTTGTTCTTTCTGTGTCGCCGTCGTTGTCTGTCAACAAGTCTGAGGTAGGTGGAACCCAAGAGACAGAGGACGATAGAAGCCCACAACCTAAATGCAGCGGAACTGCAACGCAACACGATCCGTCACGATGTGCAACATACTAAGACCATAACAAGGAGGACACGACAACCTCGACAGGCACAAGCGCGCATTCCAACAAGTCGGCCGAATGACGTGTCCAGCCTCATGACGCCACTGATGGATGACATTGAGGGTTGCATCGAGAAAAACACTCAAGTGGTGGGGAAAAAGGTCAGTGACGCTTAAGAGCAACGAAAAAGTATTCAAGTAGCGGGTAGACCAGTACCACACCAAGTAGGGTAGATGCGCTGGTTATTCCAAGTCAAGCAGAATAAGACAAAAGCTGGCGTCCTTAGAGGCCCGACACCGGTGATTAGGTGGGTACCAGTTCAAGTAGTCTGAGTTTAGGCCCTGTGCGAACGATATTAAGATTTGCAACGGTGTCTTCCTTCGGCGAAGGGACAAAGGTACCGGTTTGCTTGGATGGCCACGTGGTCAGGAAACCATTGTCCAAGAGGCAAACGCCCCATTCATATGCGAGGCCGAGCGACAACTTCAACCTTACTTGTGGTATACGGATAAGATCAGGGGTACCGCTCGAGCAAGTGCGAGCAATCAGGGCGCTACAGCAAACCTCACGATCACACTCTAAAAGTCGCTCCAGCCATATGGTCGGGGCGTATATTACTTTATCCTGACTAATGTACAAGTGATTAAGTCTCAGTGTGTGTGGTAGATCTACCCGATACAACACTTAACCCAATCGACCCTTCGACCTCTTTGGTCGAAGGGTATTACTACCGATTCTAACCATTAATAACACGTGCACATACTTAACAAAATTTTTGCACCGATTTGCCCCGACCTTAATGGTCGAGGAAATCGTTTCAAAGTGTCGTGCGAAAAACGCGCACACTCTTAAGCTCAGACCGACTTCGTCATGGTGGTCGGTGCAATCGGTGTATCGATTGTAAAAATATGGCCAAATACCCTTGTAAGGGTATTTGGTCCGACAACTCATACCCCCTATGCTACAACGTACGAGAAACGCCTCGGGTTGGTCCACCTCTGCGATTGCATGTAAAAGGTTTCGTACTGTGGACTAGTAGCTCGACGGGGATACACCCACCTAAGGGATGGTGACAGCTCCCGCAGGTGGAGGAAAGTTGTACCTCACGTGGCCCTATCCTATCGTAGGAGTTCACGAGAGGTATGGCTGGCGCACACAGCTGGCGCGGCAACACTCTACGATGAAGTCCTGCCGAATCCTGCGTGACACAGCCGGGAAGGTCCCCTCCCTCTCTTGGGGGGATCGTGCGCTCGACAACGACGCGGAGGCGCAGCCCCGAGGGGGGGGGTCTTGGAGAGCATTTGGAGACCTCACCGGCTGACCTTCCGCCCCTCCCAAACGCCCCCCACTTTCCCATTTCCCTCGGAGTCCACACTTTTCGAACTTTGCCTGAAGAAGAAACCCCTGGGCACCGTCCGAAACAAGCGCTGCACCACCTCTGCAGGCTACCGCTGGTCGTTCGGTCTTGCCTCTACTGCAACCGCCTAAACAACCGGTCGGTCTTACGACAACAACCTCACCCCGAGTCACCCTTCTTCTTCATATTCCCGCCCCCTCTACACTGCTCTAAAAAACCAAAAAAGGTCGTCGACATTTCCTGACTGGGAAACCCGCTGCCCGCCAAAAATGCAACCTGGTATAGCGCAGCCTCCTGGCTGCGAACAGTCTGCAATTCCTGATAGGGGGTAGAGCCATCGTAATGACGGAGTTCCAATAAGGGTTGGGAACCACTTGCAGCCCCAACAGGATTTGGAGCTCGAGAACATGTATTGACTTACCGTGAGGGCATGGGTGCGGAGCCCGTAGTTTGTATATGGTTGATTGATAAAGGAGGCGTTATTGGTGAGGTTTAGAAGTACGGTGAGACACATCTGTTGCAAGTGTCGTTTCAACCTATGCCCAAGCCTGCGCACTTTCGGACTTCTCCGCCCTTGCCTTCGCCCCCTGTAGCATGCAAGTGGCACAGAGAGAGAGAGAGAGAGAGAGAGAGAGAGAGAGAGAGAGAGAGAGAGAGAGAGAGAGAGAGAG